GGAATGGGGGGGAGGCGGGGAGGGAAAGGCGCGGTGTGCTCCCTGGAGGGAGAGGTGGCAATTTCTTTTCTTACTTTTACTTCCCTGTGTTTTCTAAATGGTCTATGATGAATATGTTTTGCTTTTGTCTCGGAAAAAAATTCAACAAACTTTGTTTAAAAAAAAGAAATGCATGAATGGGGTGTCTGGCCCTTTGGAGACGGAGTGCTTATAAATAAAAGCGTAATTGGCATTGTTCCTTGGGCAGCGGTTAAACCCAACTTTATCATTCTGCTCCCAGGAGGCTCCCGCCACCAGGGCCTGGCACTGTCCCAGGAGTGGGTGGTGTGCTCTGAACCTGCCAGCTCTCTTCCCGGTGGTGGTGCGGGGCTCTCCTGGCTGGCAGGGCAGGGGCGGGAGCCAGGGCAGCTGCTGCAGGGCCAAAGGGCTTGTCCCAGGTGAGGACTCACGGCTGACTCAGCCAGGCTGGAGGCAAATCAGCCCCTGGAAAATCCTGTTCCCCAGCTTCCAGGCCACTGTCGGCCTGCTTCGGCCAGTGGCCTCGGAGCCAAGAAAACCGAACAGGGTCCTCTGTTCCCACCACACCAACCAAGGAAAGACCAGACCAGGCCAGACAGGGCCACATGCGTGTTCCAGGTAAGGTCGTTCACCATCGTTTTGACTCAAAGGGTTCGTTAAAGCAAATAGTGGTGCCCCACCCCTCCCCACCCCCATCTGCAGTTTCCCCTTCCATAGCAACGACGGCCTGAAAAGAATAAATGGAAAATTCCCTAAATAAACAATTGATAAGCTTTCCATTGCACGCCATTCTGAGCAGCGTGGTGAAATCGCGCACCGTCCTGCCGCATCTCAGGTGCCACGTGACTCACCCCTGCAGACGGTGTCTCCTCGTGGTCTGTGCTCCCCGCTCTCTCGTTAGTCACCGCGCCACCATCCTGGTTGTCACGTGGACTGTCCCGGTAGCGCCTGTGCTCCAGTCACCCTGACTTACTTAATAATCGGCCTGGATGCAAGAGTGGTGATCTGGCCGTTTGGGTTTGCCAGAGAGGCCATACGTGCTTCCTTAAAGCGAAAGCACCAGCTGCCCGCACACAACCTGTATTACAGCATATTGTTACACTTGTTTTACTTTGTTATTACGGTTGTTACTCTTACTGTGCCTCATTTGTGAATGGAACTTTTTCACAGGTATGTATGTATAGGAAAAAAACAGAGCACATATGCACAAGGTTTGGTACTACCCGTGGTTTCGGGCATTCACTGGGGTCTTGGGATGTATCCCCGGTGGGTAAGTGGGGACTACTGCACTCTCACTACTCTGAGAGCTGAGGCTCAGAGAGGGTCCCTGGGGGTCACTCCTACACCAGAGCCTGTCTCTAACGCTTTCAGGGACGGGCTGTGAACTTGGCAGATGGCTGGGCCACCGCTGGGGAACAGGATGCTGGAGACAGTGCCAACGGAGGGCAGCAAACAGTTAGACTTCCCACAACACCCCAGCACTACCACCCAAATACCTAGGACCACAGGCAAGGGCCAGCTTGCTCTCAGGCTCAACCCACCCCAAACACCACTGCCAGCTTGGGATCGCAGGGAACAGGGGACTGCTCCCTGGGCTCCCCGATCAGTTTCCACGGCTTCCTCCTTTATCGGGTACCCAGCTCATACCCGCACGGCCTCGGTGAGGGCATCAGAAGCAAGGACCGGGGGAGAGACCATGGAGTCATTTCTAATTGTAATGGGATTGAGCATTACCAACAGGAACCATGGGAAGGGACCCCTCAGCTTTCTAACACGTAGGAAAGGTCTGATTCCTTTATGAACAAGTTGAGTTGTCTTCCAAGTGGCCTGTGCACGTATTCTAATCACTCTCCTGAGCTCCTGTAACTCTTCAGAGACGGCTTTCAGAGCCACCTCTGACCAAAACTGATTCGTTTGCTTGACTGCCCCCAGTATTCCC